AAAGAAGAGAGTTATGTTGTAACCACAGAGTAAGAGGTAAATTTATAAATGTACTTAAAACTGCTGTGAAGAAATCCGAAGCAACTTCTTTATATCTTTCTTTTTTTTTCTACTTTACTTTTTTCTTTTCTTGCACTTTTAGCTTTTTCTTTGATTTCTTTCTCCATTTTCTCTTTTTCTCACTTTATATTCATTTGTATTAATTTTATCTTCTTTTTAAAAGATCTTTAATAACATTATACAAAAAAAAAAAGACAGAAAGGATAATGTTTGGAGAAAACGTTGCACTGAAACACTCTGACCAATACAAAGATCAAACATGTCTACCTCTTTTGAAAACAAAAGCCAGGATTCTTCTCTGTTGATTTTCTAAGATGCTGTATTCAGAGTTTGATTTGACTTATCTCAGGGTGCGTTTCCATGGGTGCCATCCCATTGAATGGACAATGAGGAAAAACGATCTAAGGACCATTGCTGGTGGTGAACTAGTTTAACTTTGCACGTACCCTTAAGAGGGAACCTCTAGATCTGCTGGCGGTGAACTAGTTTAACTTTGCACGTACCCTTAAGAGGGAACCTCTAGATCTGCTGGCGGTGAACTAGTTTAACTTTGCACGTACCCTTAAGAGGGAACCTCTAGATCTGCTGGCGGTGAACTAGTTTAACTTTGCACGTACCCTTAAGAGGGAACCTCTAGATCTGCTGGCGGTGAACTAGTTTAACTTTGCACGTACCCTTAAGAGGGAACCTCTAGATCTGCTAAAGGAAAGTGGAAAAAAAAAAGAATAAGATAGCAACATTGTTACTGTCACACATCCAATTATGCAACAACTGGAAAGCATCTTTAATAAAAATGCTGGGTCTTTCCTTGCGGGCCTTGTCTCGTATTAATTAGATGGTTTACTGTGACATCCTGAACTTCCTTGTTTCTCTTCTGGGTGGCATTCTGGGCCACACATTGATCTCAGAATGCATATTTGGTTTCTATTCCTATTTAATTTCTATTTCAAGAAGGTATATTTCAAGAGGAAAGGTCGCTAATGGAACGTCTTCGTAAAAATCCCTAAACAGACTCTAAACAATGGTGCAACGTGAGCAATGAAGCAACAGCGAAGGAGACACAAGGAAGCTGGAGTTTTTTGGAATGCAATATCTCAATTTTTATTAGGTGGATGATCAAGATGTAAAATCTCTGAGGCTCACACCACTGGAGACAGGAAGGGCTTCAGAACAGCGTAACCCTTGATTTTGTAGCTGCAGGATCTCCAGCTAATGCTGGCCTTGTAAGCAAAAAGACTGCGCTTAAGAAAAGCTATCTCTCGGGGTGACAGAACCCAGTTGAATAGATAAACATCTGTGAGTTCCCCTACAAAGGATTCCTTGATATCAAATCCATCCCCCATGGTATCTTGATCCTGGCCGAGGACGATGGAAGCATTTGGACTTATAACGTAGTCCTTCAAAATTCCCTTGCGGGGCAAAGGGATACCATTCAGCCACAGCTCTGCTAGCCCCGTGGAGGAATCCCACGCCAGACAGGTGTGCTCCCACCCAAATTTAGTGGCTGGAATGTTAAAGGCCACGTTGGACCGTCCCAAATAAAGCACGTATTGAGTGGGGCTGGCCTTGTGGATGAGGATATCATTGTCGCTCGCCTGGGTAGCATAAGAGAAAGTGGAGTAAGGGCGAGTCAAGTCTGTGTACACCCTCTGGCATACGGTGAAGCTGGTCAGTGGCTCTTGAAGGCAGGATTGCACCACCACGTGGGCAGTGTCGGAGGCCTCCGGAAAAACAAAGACTTGTTCTTGAGATCTGGGGATGGAGAGGAGAACTGCTTTTCTGTTTTGTTCTTAAGAAAACTCATGCATTTACAGTATTATACTTGTTCTAGCACCCTTGGATTCTGTAATCTGCTGTAAGCAGGCAATAATCCAGGATGAATATCTATTCAAATGTTTAAGGACCAAGACAGATAATCCATGATTGATTCACGTCCCATCTAGGTGAGGTCAACACTTCTCAGGAGCCTCTTTTTCTGGTTAGCCATCTGGAGAGACGCTTCAAAGCCGCCAGGAGGAATCTCTGCTCAATGCATGTTAATGCTAGGGCAGTGTTGGGCTTCAGGGTTTGGTGACCGTGGTCTAGGCAACAGACTTCCAGGACCACAGTCACTAAACCCTGAAGCCCAACACCGCCCAACAGATACTGGCCGTGAAACCCTACACCAGTATTTCATTTTAATACTTATTTGGAAACTCAACCCAGAAATGAATCTAGCCACAATTGTCACAGCTTGGATGCAACCCAACTATTCTAGGCCAACACCACCCTGCTCAATGCTTGCTCCTTGGAGTAGGGGTCAGAGTCAAGAAAACCACATGAACGTGCCCTTGTAGACACCTGGAATCGAACTTAACTCAAGGGTAGCATTCCCTTTTTGGGGTGATCCTTCCACTCCATTTAGACTCATAAACACAACTGTTTAGTGGATGCAACAGGACATCTTGGGGGGGCAATCTCCCTTGTCAAGATGACACCCACCTTTCTGAGCCAAAGCCCCCAACAAGGTGGCCAGGATGAGGAGAAAAGGATGGAGAGTCTCCATGCTGAAGGTCAGGTCAGAAGTGGAGGTCTCCTGGATGGATCTCTTCCACAGATGTCTCTCGTCCTGCAACGGCTTTGCAGTTGTGAACATCCAAAATGCTCGTGTGAAATTTATATTTGGTTGGAGAGAATTTGGTCGGCCAGATTTTCTTGTCTGGCTGGTTATGAAAACTCGGGAATGAGTTTTCCCACTAAGGGACATTCCTCAGAAATCGATAAAATTCTCATTTTCTTATAGTGACGTCAAGTCAGGCAATAAAGTCACTTGCAGTATAAAACCATGTTTGTGCCCGCCAACGTGCTTTACAATCTACTTCATTAGTTTTAAGCTTTTAAAAACTAATTTAGCTTCCCCCCCCCCCCCCCCCCCCCCCCTT